TTGTGTTACATTTACTTGGCCAATTTCAAATAATAAAAATTTAAAAAGTGTCCACAATATTTTGGTAGGGCACTGTACTATTAAGTACAAAGTATAGCTCTATTTATTTTCTAAACTATCTAAGATAGAAAATTATTTATTAGTTAGCTTATTGCCCTTTATATCTTTTATATTATTAATATTAGAGCTCTAATAACATAGGTAAAAAACTAACTTGTCAAGATATATATCTCTAAGATCTCATTTGCTATTTTATAAATAAAAACTTAAAAAACTATCCAAACATAGTCAATCACAAACTAGTTATATCTTATTGACTCTAATTAGATCTATTAAAAATTAAAAAAATAAAAATAAAGATATGTATATATATTTACATATAAATATCTATAATAATCTACAAAATTTTTTTTTTAAAATCTGCAAGGCATATTTGTAAAACTATAAAAAAAAAAAACTACTTATTGTTTTAAAAAATCTTGTTTTATATGTTATTATAATTTTTATATTAATTTGTAATAAGCTTATATCTTTTATACCTTTTTGATAATCTTTATCTAGTTAAAAAAATCTTTAATTAGAATTGATTATTTGCTTTTAATTTCAAATAAAATATTATTATTAATATTTATTATAATTAAATAAAGTTCAGTTGCAAAATATCCAACCTAGATAGAAAGATTGAATATTGTATTATAAGTAAAGTTTGTAAAAATATTAATTTTTATTTCCATTTATAAATTATATGTTTTATTATATTATGATATTTTGTTAACATATATCTTCTAGTTATATAAAAAATACTACTTAATTTTTTGTCATTAAGGAGCCAATTATAACTTTAATGATACTTTCAGTTTGTTATTTAAGACAACTTGTTTAAGAATAAAAGAAGTTGGTTTTAGCCCTATAGTTTTTTTACTAGCAAGAATCATACCTTTAGAGAAAATACAATGTAATGCTATTAACTAGTATGATTATAAATTCTTTAATAAAAGTTTTCTTTTTTTTGAAAGAAAATTTTCTAAAAAGAAAATTTTTAAAAAATGTATAAATGCTATTAATTATAGATCTGGAAATCTATTTATATTAAAGTATATATTAAGTTCTATTTTTAATTGTAAATATATTAATAAGAATTTTAAAAAAAAAACCAGTGGCAATACTTATTAAGAAATAAAATCCTATAGAGAAATTCTTCTAAACTTAACTATTTGCAAATAGACATAATATTTAATATTTAATTTTTTTAAAGTTACTTAAGAATATTTAAGAAACTTTTTTTTTTGTAAGTAAACATCATTTTTTTATTTGATTTGTATATGTCAAGGTATACATTATGAAAGAAACAACATCTCTCATACACTATTGTGATAAGTTAAATGCTAGCTTGCCTACAGTAATTACTTGACTAATATTGAAAAGAAAATTTAAAACAATATATTTTGCCAAGCAGTACCGAGCGGCTATGGTTACCTACTCAGTATTAGAAAGGGAGAAATTAGTCAGTAATGAAATTAAATTTCTGATATATTTGGTATAGTTATATTTACAATAAATAAAAGAGTTAGTAACTATAGTGGATAGATCAACCATAGTTTCTTGTGAGAAAGTGTTAATAGATGAGTCTTTATCTTATAGGTTGTGAGTATCGGTAGTTCTGATAAAGTGAGATGAAGTAGAGAATTTGTTATTAGAGTTCCACTTAATTCCTGTGATTGGTGAGGTATTGGCTATTGAGCAACGAGATTTTCAGATTAAGCTATACAGCTGAATCAGGACTTCTGATGCTGCCTCAACCCAGTTAGAAAAATCGAAAATTGAAAATATTTTGTCTGTAATGTCACATGACAATTCAACGACTTGCCATATATTTGAAATTGGAGATTGGTTATTGTCTGGTTGGAGTATTTGATTAATGATTGTGATGATTTGGTCAGCTTCTTTGGAAGTCTCAGGATATTTGAAGACATGTTTTATATCTTCAGTGTGGAGTTTACATCTTGGGCATAGAGTGTCCCGATATTGGCTGGAATATAACTAATATAATTGTTGACGAGTAGATAGGATTCCTGATAATAACTTGATTCTGAATGTGATAAGATTGCTATAATTATTGTTGTATAGTTTCTTGATTTCTTTGTTGGATTTATTAATAATTTTTAAGCTGTATAAAGTATGCATATGTTGAAAAGTTTGGAGAACATATGAACTTTCACAAATCATGTAGTCTTTAGTAATGCCGAAAATCTTTTTGTATCATCTGACACTGCTTCTGAGGCAGGAGTTGTTAATTAGTGGACTTTCAGGAAAATGTAATGGAAGATTGTTTTATTGGATAGTTTTGGATATTGTTGATTTGGATTTAGATTTGGTATATATAATTTGGATAGATTTTTGTTGTATTTGTTGATTTATTTTTTGGATTAATGCAGAGAAGTTGATTTTGACCATTCTTCTGGAGTACTCAGGAATTGGTTAAAGAACTTTCTTATTACTTCTTATTTCGATAGTATTGCAATGTGAATTCCACTGGGTGATATCCAGTATTGCAAATAAAATATTGCCTGGTAATAGGTATGAATTAAGAGGTATAACTTTAGTATCATTTATAATTAGATTCTCCTTATATAATTGAATGTAAATGTAATGCTGTAAGCCAATTTCTTGTGATAGAATTTAGGAGCTCTGAGTGTTAGAGATATTGATTTCTTGTAGCATATGTTTGCTATCTTGTGGTGAGTTAAACATTTCCTCTAGTATATTGAGTAGACAATATTTTGGACTGTTGAATGGATTAAATGGTACTCATAGTGTTGAAGCAGAAGGGCTTGTGAATTCTAGCCAACAGAAGCCATGGAAGGTTGAACCGATTGGACAACCTGGGCATCTGATAATATTATTGTTATAATCAGTTGTAAAGTGTTTTTCTTTGAGTACTGTTCTTTCATGTACTAGTCGATGTCTTTTATGAACTTGGACTATTGTACTGGTATTGTGGAGAAACCAAAATATTGATTTGAGGTTTGGGACTGGACCATGGGATCCATATAAGTTTTGCATATTTGAAAATGTTTTGAACCAATTGGATCTGAACCGAGATGAATTATATCTGTATAAGAAGCAAATTGGGGCCATATAAGTTTGATAATATTTTGGAATTTTAGTAATTGATTGGTGAATTTTATATTGAGAACGTTGGTTGTATTAATTGCTGTTTTTTTGAGTTGGGATTGAAGGGAAGAGAATAGAAAACCAATTGAGTTTTCAGCATTGTTGAAATAGAAAGAACATTCAGTTGAACATATTTGAATTTTGAAGTCTTTGACTGTTTTTGCTGTATAAATAATCCAGTTGTCTTGTTTGAACTTTTCAGGATTGTGGGTTAAACAGAACCAGATTACTTCTTTTGTTTGAATAGATCAGATGTCCTGTATTGTATATTGTCTAATGGATGGGATAGAAAGTTTGGATACCAGATTACCTATAAGTATGGTTTTTTGCCTTTCTTTAAAAGCTGATAGGTTAAGAATATTTAAGAAACTTATTTTATAAACTTATTGTTTATAAATTGTTTTAATTATTTTTTTAAAATAAATATTTGTTAAAATAATCTATTACTGGATTGAAATAAGATCTTTTTGGAAACTTGCAAAAAGAGATATCAGATATTATCCAAAAATGGATCACTAATCTATTTTACTAAAAGCAAATATTTTATATACTTTATAACTTCTGATGATTATTATAATATTTATTAAATAATTGTTATATTACAATATTTTTTTAAAAAATCATAATTTTAATATTTATTGGATTAGTATATAAAATAGTTTTTCATAAGAAATAATGCCTTAACAGGTTATGCCATTAGATATTATATTAATTTTATTTATTTATCCTTATATTAAGTTGAATTAATATCTTGTAATCTGATTTGTAAAGCATTAACTATTGTATTATAAACCTATGGATCAATTAATAATAGTATAAAATCATACATATACAGTATATAAAAATAAATTTCTAAATTATTTAATATATAAAATTTTATATAAAATATAATTAATTGTGTATTTATTATTTTAATAAAAATATAATTTAAAAAACATTTGAATTAAGTAGCTTAAATTACAAAAAATATTTATATATAGTTTTTTTTAATTTTATATTTTAAAAAAACTTTTAATAATAAAAATATTTGAATTATATTTTTAACTTTAATTTAAAAACCTATTTATATATACAGTGAAATTTGATATAATGTAACCCTAGGGCAATTAGTAAAAATTTTGAAAATTCCATCATAGTGAGATTTTTTTAAAATTTATTATTAAATCCATTATATCAAGATTATATTATAGCTGTTTTGAGGTCTATTCCACTATATCGAAATTTTTATGTTTCCACTATATCGAATATCCGCTATATCGAATTTCACTGTGTATATATAATATGAAATATATAGTAAATGCTAATATTTTCTACATACATACAGTGTTTATATCACGTGAAGCATATTGCAAAGGTGGCATATTCTAATTCGCTTTTATTATAAAAATGCATGCCCTGCTTGTGGACTCGCTTCCAAAATGATGTCTCGTTTCAACCGGTTTGCTTTATTTTTGCTGTTAACTATTAATTTGTACTATCTGACGGTGACAGCATCAAAAGGACCTATTATCACAAACAAAGGTGTGTAGCTTTGGAAGTTTTCGGGAAAGTATTAGACACTTAAAAATTCATATGAACAAAAATAGTTTACTTCGACATAAAGCATGGAGATAAAAATTTAGGCCGTATTGTTCTCGGATTATATGGAAAGGTATTTAAAATGTAATGAATCTAATTTCCTACAAGGCAGCTGTTTATCAAATTGGTAAACATTTTGTAGACAGTTCCGAAAACCGCCGAAAACTTTCGCGCGTTGGCAACTGGAGAAAAAGGTTATGGATACAAGGGTTCAATATTCCATCGTGTTATCAAGGTAGATTACAATAACCTTTTACAATGAAGTAGCGCTGATATTGAAAATTCCTTTGTTTTCATAATTTTCTCTAGGATTTTATGATACAAGGTGGAGATTTTACGAAAGGTGATGGTACAGGAGGAAAATCCATTTATGGAGAAAAATTCCCTGATGAAAATTTCAAACTTCGACATACCGGACCTGGTGTTTTGAGTATGGCCAATGCCGGGCCCGACACTAATGGCTCTCAGGTAGGGGAACTTTTGAAATTCATAGCTCTTTGTTTTCAATCCATCAATTAATCGTCTCTGATAAATTAGTTTTTCATCTGTACCGTTAAAACCTCGTGGCTTGATAATCGTCACGTGGTATTCGGATATGTCTTGGAAGGATTGGATGTAGTTCGTGCCATTGAAAATGTGGAAAAAGGTCCTAATGATCGACCAAAAGTTGATGTTATGATTGAGGACTCGGGCGAACTTCCTGTTGAAGAAAACTTGAGAGTTGAATTATGAATTGTGTAATGAGTTGTTCTTTTAATTATTGTTTATTTAAAGCATCATTGCAATTAAAATAATAATTACTTGTACATCTTAATCTAAATTTATAATTTCTCGTTCCTTTTCATTTGCCAAGTTTTAAACATTCATCGATCATTAATTAAATCCTACGCCTAACGAACCATTTTTAAAAATAAATTATAAAATCGTTATAACAAACTGAAATTAATGTACAATATTACATCTTTAATCTATTAATAACGTGAAAATTATTTATAATTAATCAAATTAGCCATCAATGAGAAAGTTCATAGAGTGGGTGACATATATCTATGATTTTAGACAGAAAAGAAACGAGAATTCGAATTATTTTGACAACTTAGAATCCGGATCCTAACCAACTGCTAACCAAATTCTTCAAACGATCTCCCTGAAGAAGTGGCGCCGTTAGCACGGATTCAACGCGTTCCACGGCTGGTTTTATTTTTTCTATTTTCGACCTTTCTGAAGATTTTGTCTTTGCCCGAAGGATCTGTGCCTCCCGACGTTGGTAATCCAATTTTCGCCACAGATTTAAGATATCCACTGCTTGGTCACTGGGACACAATGCCAAAACAAAACCCATCAGAGTCATTTTTTGTTCTAAATCTTCGTAATCTTCCTGCTTAGCAACTTCGTAACAAATTTTCCACGCGATATCACTCGCCGAGGCAAACAAGGAGTCATTATCGCCACACTTTTTAACAACACTCGTGAGGTCTGTGCACATACGATATGCGATGCTAACATTACTGTCACGTAATGCAGCATCCGCGAGCATGGCCATTACTTTGATCTCAGCGACTTTATCGTTCCTATAACCTAACTTAATTGCAAGTTCCATAATAAACTGTGGTTCTTTATATGCCGTTTTGTGTATGTTCAACAAACGTTCTATTAAATCTAGGCGATTCTGTGAAAGGCGTATCTGCATGGGATGTATCGGGATCCCGGGTTGATAGCAAACCTTTTTTTCGGACAAAATATGCGCAGCCTCAATGAGTTCAAGTTCATACTTTATCGAGTCCGTCACCGGCAATATCCGAAGACTAACCAGAAAAGAAAAGTAATGAATTTTTTCTAGTAATGAAAAGAGTTATAACAATATACAAATTACCATTCATAAGCCATTTTCATGTAACCATGATACATGTTGCCAGAAGAGGCATTGTCAAAAAATTCTCTAGACGCATCAATAACCAATTGTTCAGCGATTTCAATGCTCAAGGGTTGTGGTTTGTCAGTTGGTATCAAAATTTCTTGTGATAACCTGAATTCTGAAAATCAACGTGTTATGGATGATTCAACTTTTAAAAATGTCAAATGCGTTTTTTATAGTTTACAATAACGTGTCAATTGAAGGATACTTCCACAGCTGAGTAATCCCGATATAAAATCTTTGTAAAGTTCTTCGGTAGAAATTTTTCCAAGGATACCATTTTCTCGCATTTTTTGCATCCCTTCTAATAAAAGATGCCATTCATCATCACTTTCAAATCGTTCCTTACCACTCTCCAGGTTGATATTAACTTTTCGCGTTAATTTAATGCATAATTGTTTCTGTAATGTGTAATTATCTGCACTTTGAATAAACCATCTCAACGGTAAGACATGATCATATCGTGAAAGAATTTCCGCGGCGTTCAAATGAATTTCTAGAAAATCGATGATATTCTGAAGCTGACTCTCGTCTTTGGTCTTAAATATCTTTAGAAATTCATAAGATGTAAAACTTTGAAGCGAGTTAATTTCTGTGGTGATAGAGTGGATTTCCGAAGTTTCTACATTGAAAATTGGAAAGCACTCAAACATTCGTGTCATAATGTTTAATTCATTGGTACTGGCGTTCCCATATAGACAAGCCAAAATTACCCTAGCTAAATCTTCATCTGAAGTTATAATACGATCCTCAATGTCCATGGTAGATTTAGATGCCTCAAAGAGAAGACAACACCACTCAGCATTTGATGAAAATTTATCCAAGATATAATCGTATAATAGTTCCATGGGATCGTTCTCTGCAGCAGATTCTTTTACATTATTAGAATTTTGACGAACACGACGAGCAGGCAATAATTTTAAGAAAGGAAGAATATATTGCTTAATATCATTGACAATACGTTTTTCGTTGGTTTGGCTCAAGAAAGTTTGCACTATCTCTGATTCCGATAGTGTTTCGAATTTTTCTAGTGTCATTAATGAGTCACCCAAATTTGAAGACGGGTAACATTCATAAACCAATTGTGATAGCATGTGAAGGTCCTCTTCTAAGGTTTCTAGATCCCTAACATTCTTTTTTATTCCATGGCGAACAAGTGCAAGGGCATTTTCCACCTGTCCTGAAGCGCTATCTATTTTATGTGCACGATCAATATACCACTGAGTGATGATGGAAGATGGCGCAGGATACTGGACCGACTTCAATGGAATTCCAAAGTCAAGTTCTTCTGGTTCATCCAGTAATATTTGTTGTTTAATATTCGGATTTTCAACCCAATCTGTATCTCTCCAAGGTTTCTCGTGCCATAAACATTCATAAAGCTCGCCTTCTTTTGATCCGACGCTTGGTAGAAAAGATTCGTAAACATTTGGATCCGCGGTCTCTGGTATTTGCTCCAAGATAGTGAACCGGTATGGCAATGTTTCGTTACCATGGCGTGTGAACAAGATATGAAGTCCATTGAAAAATTCGTCCGCTGCAAAGTCTATTGCCTGCGCAGCAATACTGACATCGCGAAATACTGCGTAGTCATCCGCAAATGTTGAATGATAATCGACGAAAGAAACCCAATCTCCATTTTCCTCTGTAGAATCCATGGTACCATCTTCTATATCCCTTTCCGTTCTTGCGCTCACAATGTTCTCGAAAGTACAGAGTCTATCCAAATATTTAAAAAAATAGTGCCTAAATCTACAGGTGATCTTATGTTTCTCAGAAAGTTGAATGTTGACTAACAGGCCTTGAACTTCCGGGTCTACTTCCAACGGATGTTCTCGGAGGGCCTCAATAATTAAATTGGCATCGGTCGATTTCAAATTATCCGAGATAACCTCATTTATAATATCTGTCTGATCTAGGCCATAACTTAACAAAAGACGAATTGTAGAAGAAAAATTCGTGATCCGATGAAGGCAGGCAGACAATACCCATTGCCTGTCATGTATCTTGTCCAAGTAATCGTGAATTGTGACCTCATGTATTTCTGCATCATGCCACCGGGCCTGATATATTACATCGGTGTCAAGGTTGTAGGTCTCTGCTATTAACAATGCATCATCGTATTCGAGGGCGTTAATTTTACGGTAGAGTAAATCTTGTGGCAATATTTTGGATATGCGATTAAGTCGAAACGTTCGCTTTGGAATTGTTATAAACCGACCGCGGATAGTTGAAGAATCGCTTTCAAAGTGCCACAGAACTGTGTCAGTTATGTAGTGCAATGAATTCGCAATTGCGGATATCAACCTACTCATTGGTGACTGCGACTCTTCGAATTCGTCATCCTCTACCTCCACTTCTTCTTGAGCTCTCGAGTAAGAAATGACGTTGTCACCGTGAACACGTGCACGAATTATTTTGACTTCGTGTTCAATTACCAAGAAACAGTTATTACATTGACTGGTGATCTCGCGGCAAGATTTGAAGGTTTCCGGAGAATCACCCAGTATATTCACCATTTCGGGAAGACTAGCAATAATGACCGAGCCACTCTGATAACCAAAAATAAGCGCACTGTCCGACCACCATCCCACCGACACGACTCTTCCATTTTCCAGTCCAGGTACATCATCGCCATCATTTTCAGCGTCCGTAATTTTTTCTCGGAAATCTTCAAAGGACAACTCCTTATATTCTCTCCCTCTTGCCAAGTAATTTAACCAAGATTGATTCCATAATCGATCAATCACGACACCCTTAGAAAATGATAACTCCCAAAGGTTAACAGATCCCGAAAAATCCAAAGTTAATAAGTAATTTTGATTAGGTGAAAGAAACATGCTATGGACAATCCCATTAGTAAAATTTTTATTAACTTTACGCCAAATTGAGAAAACGTTTTTTATCCGAGAAAATAATCCCACGTCATCGTCATCACCTTGACTCAGATTTGATATATCGTCATTAGACACGTCCACGGATCCTTCGAACTCTAGCTTGTGATAGAATGGTCTATCCTGTAACAACCTCCAGCATGCCACTGAAGTTGAGACCTTTCCATCTTCGCTATTAGGTTCTCCGCCAAGACAAAGTAGAAAACCATTGGCGGTAGCAACGACTCCACACACGACTGTGATCAGCCATTGTTTAAAATAGAATTTATGGTAAAAAGTGAAAAAACCAGGATCGGATGTTCCCTCACGTGGATAAGTTGCATTAGCTTTAGCCCGTCGAGACAAAGAATCATTCTCATCAATTGCTGCAGATTCAGGTGTATTAAGTAGATAACTACGCAGTACACTATCGTAAGTGATGACAATCAATTCATACTGGTAAGTGTGCCTCTCGAAGTTCAATGGTTTATTCGACCCACGTTTGGGATCCACAAATGACAAAAAAGCCACAGGTTCAATAAAAAACCTTGAACTACCGTGAGATTCAATTTCCGAATCGGAAGTAGTACTTGAAAGTATTACGCATACCAATTGTCCGTCTTTGTTGATGATTTCTACTGTGCCATCGCTTCTCGTTGCAGCCAAAATTTTCGAGTCCATGCTCCACGCGAGACGTCTCCAGGCCGGAAACGTATCTCTCTTCGAGTTAAAGATCGCATGGTTTTTTTCGAAGCCACTTTCACTGGTTCGAATCTCGATTTTATGCTCTTGTAAAACCGCTAAATATTTGCCATCGGGAGAAAGTTGCATCAGCCATTCACTTGTCACTTTAGGAAGTGCTTGTATCAGAGCAGGAGGAACAGTTGTAGATATGGTTAGTCCTTCAAAACTACGCGCTAGCCGATGCGTGACGTGTTTGAACACACGGCTCGGAAGTTGGGAGTAGGACGGATCAGCGTTGGTAAAGGTGTTAACCTGTGATTCAGACTCCTGATCTGAAGTCTCGTCGTCAGGTTTCCATACAGCAACAACATCAATATCATATAAAATACGATTAGACTGACTTGAGTCAGCAAGTGTTGATGGCCTTGCCATGACTCCAGAAGCTTCTATGAATATTTTTTTATTTTTAGTTTTATTGCTACAGATAGTGTAGCGCAATAACCCAGTACCCGGTAACTAATATCGATCGACAGATATTAAACATTGTACGATTTTTGAAAATGTAATTTTATTATGTAACTTAAATTACAGGTTTATCTCTCCATCGAACTCAGGAATTAAATAAAATAATTAATTACCTCGCGTTCTAAATGAAATACATAGTATTGTCTAAAATCGACAAAGATGTTAAAAATGAAAAAAAAAAAAAAACTGAAAAATAGAAATAATATTTACCTCTGGATAAACTTTCTTTAACTTCTTTCAAAACGAATTCGGTCTCGCTACACGGTCGTTGTTCCAAATGAAGCCTAATGCGAAAATCATTTCTGAGTTGATGAATTAGAACTAGTAATATAGAATATCACGTTCATTTTACCTTGCACGTTTAGCCGCCAAGTGTGCATAATCTAAAGACAGATTAGTCCAAGAACTTGTTTTTATCACATGATTGAGTATAAATATAGCGTTACTTACAAGCAGCCGGTGAAATTGATACAGATCGTGTCGCTCTAAATTCCAAACACGATATAATGACAAGTTGATAAATGTGCGATATCTAGATCAAGATGACACTAACCTTTGATAATTATAACAAAGCTTGTGCGTCATGTTTTGTAATGTATCAGCATTAAATTTGTTTTCGTCAAAGAGAACATGATCTAAAATGAGAAAATGATAAGAAAATGCAAATATTAAATTATACGATCAATTAAGAGTGTGTACTCACAGTGCGCCGGTCGTGATGTTCCATGCAAACTTGAGTGTGACTGCAAAACTGATTTATATAAAAACATCAAATTTTAATAGCATTCACGGATTCAAATTCGCGATTAATAAGAACTTACAGAAATCGAATAAATATGGATGTGTTATTTTTCGATCCACAACAGTTCCAGCGACACAGTTACCTTTACTGTAGAAACAAAAAAGAAAAAGGATTAGCATGGGGAAGATATATTTTACGTCGTTAACAAATATAATTAATCTACACCTGTCCGTGTCGCATTCTTGTTTTGGATAAAATCTCGTGTGATGGCGTTTTCCAACTATGACAAATGTGATTGGTGGCATGTAATTGTTATCTATCCTTCTACAAGCATCTGGTAAAGTAGAAGTTCAGTTTGACGAATGAATAAATAATTTTTAAGGGAAAGGTGAAATAAAGCAATCGTATTATAGCAAACCTTTTATTTGTACTAATTCATGTGTCAGCACCATCTCAAACTGACTTTCAGAAACCCCATCGCGATACATTATAATTCTTCTGGGTAGAATACGATTTTTTTCTCGGTAATCCTTCAAGATGTCTAATACCATTCCGCCCATATTTTCAATTTTCTCTTGCCTCGTTTTTTGACTTTCCAATTTGGGAACAAAACGGCCGCCTTGACGATCAAGTGAGCCAACAACCGCACATATAGAAGGCATGCCTTGAAATAAGAATGAAATATATATATATATCATTCGCCGATTTAAAAAGATTTTTTTACATGATCACGTAAAAGACTATTCTGAAGATGATTACTTGATGGGCCAGCACGACCTCCAGTTGGATGGGTGACATCAGCACCAAGTAGAATTACCGGCTCTTGCTCAAAAAGTGGTATCTCTGTCTCTTTCAGTGACTGATTTGTTCCTCCAAGTTTCAAGTTCATTTTGAGCGCAACGTTTGCACAATATTGCTTGTTCTTTTTAGACACTTTATCGAGTTGTACACATTGCGTAGGAACTCCAAGAATGGTGTCAGCAGTATATTTGATAGCCCGATATCGTTTTTCATCGTCATCCGGTAGAATAAACAGCATTAGCTGAAGGTCATTATTTAAAGCATTTCGAGCATTATAATACTCTCGCTCAACTATACGCTGATATGTAACTTGATCTCCGGTATGTTCTGCGTAGACAATTCTGGGCCTGCTTTCTGCAATACTCTGAGAGAAAACAGTTGTTACAAAAATGAATGCGTACTCCTATTTCAAGAAAATGCTTATTACCATTCCCTGGTTTTTACTGGTGCTAACAAGCACTTTAATGAATTGTTCAGCATCTTCATGTGAAAATTTTTCTTTGCGTACGAAAACAACGACAACCCAATAACGTAACATCTCTCCACTTCTGACAAATTTCCTATCCTTTAAGTTCCATCCACCATTCGATGGTTTAACTGTTTCACCAGCTTTGGATGACGAGTGATAAGCTATTTGAGGTGGCCTTAATATACGTGCTTAAGAAAAAAATTGACACTTAATAAAGCGAATAGGAAATCTCCTTCTATATGAAATTTCATTATTTGCATACCCGGAGTTTCGACCATTTTTTGTTCAACATTCATTCCGAAATCATTTAATTTGAAATCCTTTTCAAATTGCAACACATTTTGAACTCCCTCATTAATGCGTTCGACATTGTCTCCAGGACGCAAAGCCGTGTGTTTTATCATTTTCCCTCTCTGTGCGCTGGTCAATTTTGCAACTGGGAATCTCTGACCCTGCATAACACATTGGTTAAAAAGGACAAAGATATAATTATGAAATTATGAACATAAATAACAATACCTCAACAATACCGCAAAGTTCAATCGGATATTTATCAGCCCTTCGGCCTTCGGTCTCAACGAGATGCTTGTATCGAATAGCTATGTTATATTTACGTTTATAATACGAAGAAATGTCAATCTTTTCGCCAGACTCCGGTATCTCGACTTTGACCTCATATACATTGTTAGGACATAGTCTTTTTATCTTGAATCTTGTATTTACTTGAGGACGGTGAAGAGGTCTGAATTTCAGACCCCGTATCAGTTCATTAATATGCTTTTGTTGTTCCTGAGAAAGTCTATCAGGAACTTCGCCAAATCTTGTATTCAAGTATCTCGCGATTAATTGAGAAAGATCTAAGGGCTCGTAAAAGACGGTATAAGTTGTGTTTACATTTATGAAATAACTATCTGTAGAATAGTTTGACAAAAAAAAATACGAGAGAAATATGTCAGAACTTCAATGTTAAAAATTCAAGAAAAACACGACATCATGTTAATATTCAGCTAAGATTGCCTAATATTACATGAATATAGGAAATTCACACTATACCTTGACCAGGTCTAACACTTTCGAACCATCCCATCCACAACTCTACGCCTCCTCCCAGAGATTTTCGAGTCGAAGGGAGATAAGTAGACTCTCCAAATTGCGTATACCTCATGGAGGGCATATGATGTATGAGAGCGTTGAGGCCTCTAATGCCAGCTATTTATTTCGAGAATATGATCAATTAGAAATTACATTTGGTTAATCTTATCATAAATAATATTTTGATTACCTAAATCAAAATATTCCCACTTCATCTCTTTCCCCTCTAGACATTCCCTTAATTCTTCTAGATCTACTCTGTCGAGTTTATTAACTTCAACCTTATATTCAATAGAACCTCCTCTAGAATCGGGATCATCCTTCAAAGTAACCTGCAAACGCATCAGTGGTATGTTGGGTATCCCGGTACAAGTATCAGCAATGGATATTTTTAAAAAGTGAAATTGTGCGTTTTACGTCCTACATCTCACCGATGTAGTTCCAGTATCAGATTTCAAAACTAAAAGGCCGGTTGAGTATATGGTCTCGTTACCTATTCATCGGGAGGCGTACAATAGACAGTATGGAAGTAAATGATGAGTTGATTGAATATAATAAAAATAATAAGAATTAGGTCCCCTTCACAATTACCATCAAATACAACGCCAACTCCTTTAAACCACCCATTGCGCTCTTGTTTTTCCAATTGCTGGAATATGGATCTTTGAACATTAACCGAAAGCTGCTTCGATTGTTTAGGTGCCTTCCGTCTATGAGCACCTTCACCCTCTGCCCTTTGTTGTGTGGCCAATTTCATCGTGATCTCATATTTCTCGAGATACGATTTGTCCGCGATCTAATTCGAATATCGAACCATCAACGTAAGATCACGTGATCCTTTTTCTTTAGCTATGAAAGAATGATGCACCTTACTCTTTTCACTTCGAAGTAGTTTGTTATGATATGGGTATGACGTCCTGACCTGCCATAATTGGGTCGCTTAGCTATGTTTTTTATTGCTTTCTCTCTTAATGAAACATGATTTTCACTAGGTTTTGTATCAGGAGCTGTTTCCATTTTGACTTTCTGTCCGATAATTTTAAAACTTTTAGAATTAGTTATTAGAAGAAAGAAAACTACATGATTTTTTCTCCACAGCCTCGATAACAGTTCTAATATCAACCAATCAAACGTAAATCAACCAGATATGCGAGTCGATCCAATTATAATTAAAAGATCCGCAGAAGCTCAATTGATTGTTTCGAAAAACAACCAAGAAATTATTTAAACTTCATAAATTACCCTAAAGTCTTGTCTCTAAATAACTTACTTTTTAAGAATTTACTTACATAAATATTTTTTTTATTAATATATATATGTATATATTTTAGGGTAAAGAATACTAACTGTATATATTTATTTATTAAGTAATTTTATCCAATTACATAACTACAAGATCTATTCAAATTAACTTATGCTCCCGCCTATAGACTGACTTAGTTATACCAATTTTAAATCACCATGGAGGTGGACCCATACATTAGGTAAAATTTTTAGAAATTGAAAATCTTATTACTAGTTTTAAACTATTTAATTTAATCTAAATTCTATCTAATTATATTATAGAAAAATTATTTACTTTTTAAAATAAGTAAAAATTATTGAATATCTTAATATTTTTTATTATAAATCTAAAAAAATAATATAATTATTCTTATCACTTGTAATTTTAAATTTTCAAGTTATTAGATTTTTTTTTTAAGAGCAACTATTAGATTGAAATAATTTATAATTAAATAATTCTTTATATTATAGAATTTGTTATATTAATTAAAGTTATAAACTTTTATAAAAGTTAAATTAAAAACCTTTTCTTATATAACTTTTTTTGCTTTAATCTTATTTTAATCTGTAGTTATTAAAAAAATTAAAAATCCTATGTTTATATGACCTAATTAAATTTAATTAAAATTTAAATAATTAAGTATAAACTAAAAATCTATATTTAAAGGTTTATAAATATTATTTATTTTATTATCAATTTATGGATTTTTTTTATTAATATACTAATTTAAATATAAAACAATATATATGTATAATATATATAGTTTTTTTTTTTTAATTTAATTAAAATAATTTATTTATTAAATTAAATTAAATTAATTCAACTTACTTATTTATAATATTAAATATAATTTATAAAAATAATATTATATTTATTTATTAACTAGAATTAAAATTTATTTTACTTAATAAAGTTATAATTTGTAAATGGTTTTTATAAAATATATAATATAATATATATAATATATTAAAATTGTTTTTTAATTATATATATATTTATAATAAAATAACAAATCAATTGTTTTTATTTAAATTATATTATAATATTATTAAGAAGTTAAATTATTCTTAAAAAAAATTAGAAATTGCAATGAATCAAATCAAGTTAAATTTTACTTAAATTTAATTTAATTTTAAGTATATGATTTAAATTCAAATCAAATTTAAAAAAGTTTTATTTGATTTGATTCAAATATATTTCAAATTAATTTTGTTTAATTAAATTCAATTTGTATTTAATTTGATTTATATTTGATTTAATATGATTTGATTTAGAGTTGGATTTAATTTGATTCAATTCAATTTTAATTTGAATTTAATTTGAATTTGATTCTGGCATTGTAATCAAATTACCTATAAAACTTGATTTCTTTTCTAATAGTTTTGAAATGTTGCTATTTTGAGCTACTAAATTTTGTTTATTAGTTTTCAAGATATTCTTATACTCTAATAATGGATTCTGAAATTCTTCTAGATTAATTTGTACTTGTCTATTAAGTAACTCTATATTTCCTATTAAAATATCTTGACACATAGAATCCATAAAGATATTAATTATAGAAACTAAATTAGTTGATCTAATTGTACTATCAGGTTTGTTTTTATTGACTTCAGGAGTAACAACATGTTGATAATTATTGACTTGCATCATGTATCTATATCTTGTTAATTATATATTGAGATATAACCATTTAAATTATTTGTGTATATGGCTTATAGGATTAATGTGACTATAGTACTTTGTTAATAATTTGTAAAAGTAAGTTAATTGTAGTTTTTTGGGCTTGAGTGACCTCAAATATGGAAAATAAGTGATTTGCAGAATTGTCTAATAATAAAAAAAAATTATTCTTTTATACTGAAGTATTCGATAGAAGGTAGATAATTGCTTCAAATATCTTTTCAACTAATATGTGCTATTTTTTTTTGTTAATAATATTAATTTGGTTTCAAAATAAGTATCAATTGTAATTAAGATTGTTGCTAATAACTTTTTGAACTATTTGTTCTCTTTCAACATATCCAAGCTTGTTGTCATCCTAGTAAACAAAAAATTCCTTCAGCTAACAACTGAACTTCTTTTTAGATTTGCTGGCAGTTGCAATAGTAAATGCTTAATATATAGATCTGATGATTTTAGAGATATTAAATTTTATATAAATGGTTGGAATATCTTTCTGATATGGTAAGAAGTTTTTCTAAACTGGAATTATTCAATATTTGAAGAACTTGACAAGTAATAAAATTGAGATATTTTTTCCTGAAAGAGATATAAGAATAGTATGTATAATAATTTCCATATAAATTATAACAAACAATAGTTTACCTAGATTAATAAGAGCAATATCAAAAAGATCATATATTAAATTTGAAAATTTTATTTTGGAGAAGGAGCCTCCAAAAATACTTAACTTGTTTTTCTCAAAATTTTTACCAACTATTAAAAAAGAAAATTTTTAAAGAATTAGATGTGTTTGAGAAAGAGTTTTTTTTTTTAGTAATATCAATTATTATATTTTATATATATTATTTATCTTAATAAGTTTTAAGTATTGGATTTACAAGTCTATATCATAATAGTTCATGCTTTACAGGTTTAATTACAAGATATTAGTTCAACTTCAAGTAAAGACAATTAAATAAAATTTATATGATATCTGATACTATAATTTGCTTAAATACTGTTTCTTATAAAAAGCCAATTTATATGTTAATTCAGTGACATTGAGATTATAATCTCTAGAAAAGATGCCATGATGTGATAATCATCTGGTTAATAATATGATAATTGTCAAAAATATATCTATAATAGTTAGTATGACAAGCTAAAGAACATGTATCTAACTTTTTTAATTAAAATTCCTCTTGTATTTAGATATATAGACTGGATTGTACTTTATTCTAATAAAATTTAATTAATACTTTGTTTTCAATGATAATTAGAGTGTTAGTCTAGACTATTTCAATTTAATAAAAGCCTAATAGGTTTGAAAAACAATCTACTACAGGTGATAAGAAAATTGTGTCTCTTTAAAAGAAATCTCAGGCCAGGAGAATGTAATCTGAGATATAGATAATAAGGTAAAGAGACACTTGGACTAATATTTCTAATTATAACTCATCTAGACAAAACTGAATCATATAGGTTAAGTAGCTTAAACTAGTAATAGGATTTCTATATCCTATAGGTTTATTTTAATAGTTATGTAGAAAATTATTCAATATGATAAGTTCTTGGACAACTGAATATAAGGTATTATATAGGAAATAATCTGTATAGAGTATATAATATAATAACTTGTATAAGTTCTTGAATTGTAAAGTATGTTAATATAAGATATTTATTAATAAAAACCAAGCAATGAGTAGTATTTTATTTTATAAAAAAATAAAATAAAATAAAAAATAAATTTTAAGTATTGCTAAAATATCATTATTTTTTGTAAAAATTTCTTGGTTAATATTTAATATATTATAGGTTAATTTTTAACAAGAAAAGTTAAATAGTATTAGATAAAATTTAAATAAAATTTAGGCAAAATTAAACTTGTATAACAGTATTTTAAATAGAATTAAACTTATATAACAGTATTTTAAATTTGATTACCTTTCAAATAATATGATAACTTCATACTTGCTATTATTATAATAATTAATTCTATATGTAAAAAAATATTATTTTAAATAAAAAATATTAAAAAAAAAACTCTTTCCCGTACACAACTTTTTTCTTAAAAATTTCCTTTTATAGTAATTTTTCTTCAAAATTAAAGAAACAAATATTTTTTTC